GGTGAACTTTTTCGCCAAGGGGAAGGAAAGGCTTTGTAGATCTCCATTATTTACCTCTGCAATATCCTGAGGAACTTCAGATAGGAATGTAACTGTAGGGGAAGAGGATAGATTTTGGAATATGTTTATTGTGTAAGGAGTAGAGCGATGGTCTAACAAAGGGGTCTTCAAACCTGGCCCTTTGATGACTTGTGGACTTCAACTCCCAGAATTCCTCAGCCAGGCGTGCCTGGCTGAGGAATTCTGGGAGTGGAAGTCCACAAGTCATCAAAGGGCCAGGTTTGAAGACCCCTGGTCTAACAGTTGGATTGGGGACATTTAGTAGAGATACAGAAAGTGCAAGGAGTTGGACCAGGAGTGGACAACCTTGGCTCTTTTATGACTTGTGGACTTCAACTCCCAGAATTCCTGAGCCAGCATGGCTCAGCTTGGAAACCTCTCCCTTTCCCTTCAGCATGGCTGGCTCAGGAATTCTGGGAGTTGAAGTCCACGAGTCCTAAAAGAGCCAAGGTTGCCTACCCCTGCTCTAGCAATTCTAGGAAATTCTAGCAATTCTTCACTCTTCTGCCTCTCCTTGGTTGCATTCTTACAACATAAGCCCTAAAGCTAGCTTTAAAAATCTGCTATATTTCCATAGCATGCCGCGTCCAAAGAATATTCCACTGATCCAGCCATTCCCTCTTAGCCCTAGGAAGAAAACAATGGCCAACCACTTCCAAAATGGTGGCAAAGAAATCCTCCAGGATCTTGTCTGGGCAATTGCCAGGAGACAGGAACGACTCAAAGACCCCACAGAGAAATTATCCTAACGTGGTACCCCAACTAGCCTGAATCTGTGACTTTCACCCCTTGAAACAAATAAGAGTATCCCAGGTTATAAATGTTGCTGTTATTAAATTTGACAGCTACTAATTCTCAGGGACGCAAGACCAGACTCTGTGTTTTCTGTACACTCTAGGCTTAATTCATAGTTTAAAAATAAAATAACAGTGTTGTCAAAAATTGGAGGACGCTATATAAATTGAATAGCCTGACATCTGCTATCCTTAAATAGACAAGAGACAGACAGGCAGAAAGGGATATAATTTCCGCGTTTTGCTTTTTTTTTTATGCTAAAGTTTCTGTTTTGGTTTCTAGCGATAATTTTCATGTTTTTCCCTATTTCTTAAAAAAAAAATTCTCTTTGTTTTTGTCTGTTTTTTTCTAAATGGTTGAATATAGGTTGTTTATATACAGTAGCTCAGAAAGCATCAAGAATAGATTAACCCTGAGCTACATATGTTCCATTTCACTAGAAAGAAATAATTCCCGTCTTAGCATAACCTTTATTAAGGTAACAATTCTCCCTGGGGTACATCAGGATCCCCTGCTGAGGTCACCAGGAGACCTTCAGTTTCGGAAATAAAATCTGATATCAAAATCTGATATCCTTCAGTGTCCTGTAGGTTTCCAGGCATCAATCTCTTTCAGATCTCAGAAAGAAGACAGGATAGGAAGAAGAGCTTATTTCTTGGGTCCAACAGTCCTGGAGCTGACCTAAATAAATTCTATTTCAATATTAAAATGCAAGCTGAATCCCATTTCAAAAATGATTAGATAATGAGGAACAGCTGAAGATATCTCTGCTTCTCCCAACCCTTCTAGAGGAGCGAGAGAACCAGTTTGATCTAGACCAGGGGTAGGCAACCTTGGCTCTTTTATGACTCGTGGACTTCAACTCCCAGAATTCCTGAGCCAGCCATGCTGAGGGGAAAGGGAGAGGTTTCCATGCTGAGCCATGCTGGCTCAGGAATTCTGGGAGTTGAAGTCCACGAGTCATAAAAGAGCCAAGGTTGCCTACCCCTGGTCTAGTGATTAAGGCACCAGGCTAGAAAATGGGAGTCTATAAGTTCTAGTCCTGCTTTAGCCATGAAAGCAGGACTGTTTGGTCTAAAAGCACCAGGCTAGAAAGCTGGAGATGGTGAATTCTAGTTCTGCTTTACGCGTGAAAACCACTTTTTTTATGACTTTGGGCCCATCATCAGGCGACCGTGGGTTCTAGTCCCGCCTTAGGCATGGAAGCCAGCTGGCTGACTTTGGGCCAATCCTCAGGAGACAATTGAGTTCTAGTCCCGCCTGAGCCATGAAAACCAACTGGATGGGTCAATCACAAAATTCACTTAACAACTGTCTTACTTAGCAATGGAAATTTGGGGCTCAATTGTGGTCATAAGTTGAGGACCACCAGTAGCTACCATTTTATAGAATGCTTAGGACAGCCCTCTCAGAAATCCAAGACTTACCATCAGCATTGATTTAAAATTAACCTGCTTTCTTATTGCAGTATTTGTCAACTGTGGCTACTCTAAGATGCGTGGACTTCCACTCCCATAATCCTTGAAGCCCATGCACCTTAAAAGTGGCCTTGGTTGGGACTTCCGGTTCCGGTTTGCGGCGTCACTAGTCGTACGGGGAGACTCGTCTCCTCATCGGCTAGCTTTCCCTTCGTCGGTGGACCCTTATACGGGTCCAAAGTCGCCCTGGAGGGTGCGACTTCCACCGAGGAGGCCCCTGTCCGGCTGCAGAGGAGTGGCGGCTCCTCCAGCTGTCCGGATGATCTTCGAGGGCCAGCGAAGAAGATCGGCCGGTAAAATGGCCGATTGCTCTGCCGCTTCAGACCGTAAGTCAGACAACATCTAAGCTGTGAGTGCCCCCGTGGTGAACCCGGGTGAGAATCTGCTTGCAACTCTCTCTTTTCTACTTTTCTTTTTGCTACCTGTAAGAGCTTTTGGAATTATTTCCCTGGCTTGAAAAGGCAGCTTCTACCTTTTTTGGGAAGAAAGGCGTTTTATAAATACAGAAAAAGACTTTATTTTATTTTATTTCTATGTATATCTTTCTCTTTGGATACAAAAGGAAAGAAGATGGAAAAGGTTTTCTTTCCTCTCTTTCTTCAAGAACTGCATTAGTTTTTTTTCCTTATATATTATACTTCAAAAGATAGAAACAAGGAATTGATTTCTGGAAAAGATTTTCTTCAACTCACTGAGGGCATCTAGTGGTGAAAATGTAATACTACGGCTTTGGCTATTTTTTTTTTTTTTTAAATGGGACTCTGAATTTTAAAATACCTTTGAGGAAAAGATAAGCTGTGCATCCGTGAAAGCTGTGGGGTACATTAGATACAGCCTCCACAAAAAGGGAAGATAATTTTTGTTAAGCATTATATTAAAATGGAGAAAACTTTGTCACAAGAGAACCGTGCACTCATACTGGAAAAGATTTATGAGGCCACGGCAGAAATACGTGCTACAATTAAAAACTGTACTTTAGAATTGAGATCTAGAGATTTTACCACATCTGTTCAAATGGATCTTCAGGCTACATCTGACTATGATATAAACCAAAATATATCAAAAGAGGAACCTACAGTGACAGAAGAGGAACCTATTTTACCTGACAACCCTTTCTTCAGTAACTTAAAGAGTCAGAAGAAGCAAAGACCAAAACCCCAAACTACAAAGCAACGACACTGCAAGGAGAAGAGGAAAAAAAAAATCTAGGGATTTCTACTCTCCTAAAGATTACTACAAGCCACAAAAATGGATTCACTGGCTGAAAGGGAAGCGTTTCTATGGATGCCGGTGTGGCATAGAAAAAAACCCAGAATTAGACTGAAAAAGAAACTTAAAACTGTTTAATGGATTAAAAGGCAATCTTTGTTTTATGGTTTGTTTCAAGGATAATGAATTAGAGTCAGAAGTAAGAAAAATAAAATTACAGACATGTGCGTTTAAATTAGTTAGATGATTTTTTTGTTGGATGGAAATCTGCTTGGTACAGAAATATGAAAGTCAAAATTGGACTGAAAAAAGAAACTTGGTTTTATGGACTCTACTAAAGATAAAAAATATATAATTATACATTTATATATATGTGTTTAAAGAGACTAGAAATGTATTTTTTGGAATAATAGATTGATTTTGAGGGAAATTATATATTGGAATTGGGAAAACAAAAGGTTGAGTTTTTAGATAGGAATGTGGAAATGCTTAAATTACTTAGGTGATCTTTGTCTATAACAATATGATTTGATAAGGTATGATAATTAATTGGATGGAACTGGAAGTTTTTGTAATGAATTGAAACATTAAGGTTTAATACTGTTTTTTCTTTTCTTTTTTTTAAACTAAGTTACTTATTATTGGAAGAAGCAGCAGATGAGATTGGTGATAAAAAAAGGGAGGAGAGAGATTACGAGCTTGAACATATCTGGAAGAGATAGTTGAACTCATAATTGGTTGATAGAAAACAATATTTGGTTATGATAATTGTAAATGGATAAAGTTTTAAAAACAGGTTTAGTAGTAATAGAAATTCAAGCTAGAAATGGAATATATTAAATTTACTATGTTATTTGAGGGAAATAGAGAGATGAGGGGGAATGTATTAAGTTGAGCTGTTTATATGTTTTCACTTTGGAATGTTTGTTCACCCAAGCACCACGGTGTGTCATAAGTACTTTTTGTTAAAATTAGAAAACCAATAAAATATATTTTTTAAAAAAAGTGGCCTTGATTGGGAAGCACTAGCTTATTTCTTTGATCCTAGTTGCAGTGAGACCCTAAATCTTCACTAACTTTGGCAAGTTATCTTTGTCGATATTTTGTGGGACTTTCCATAGTGTGCTTTGAGTAGTTACCATTTAACTTTCTTTTTCTTTCCTTTTCTTTCTCTTTCTCTTTCTTTCTCTTCTCTTCTCTCCCTTCCCCTCTCCTCTCCCTTCTCTCCCCTCCCTCCCTCCTCTCCTCTCCTCTTCTCTCTTCTCTTCTCTCCTCTCCTCTCCTCTCCCCACTCTTCTCTCCTCTCCTCCTCTCCTCCTCTCCTCTCCTCTCCCTTCCCCTCTCCCTTCCCTCTCCTCTCCTCTCCTCTCCTCTCCTCTCCTCTCCTCTCCTCTTCCCTTCCCTTCTCTTCTCTTCTCTTCTCTTCTCTTCTCTTCTCTTCTCTTCTCTTCTCCTCAGATTCCAGAATCTTCTTTGGTCCCGAAAAACATTTGTGGACAGCGTTGAAGTCTACAACCAGAGCTACATCTATATGCCGGCTTTCTCCATGAAAATAGGGACTCAACCTTCCCTCCGCGTGTACTACACCCTCACTGACGTCGGAGCCAAGCAAAAGGTGATCTTCGCCAACCCTAACTTCCTGCGGGACACTGGCAAGTTTTGGAAGAGCAAAGGGATTCACGCTAAGCGTCTTTCAACCGGCCTCTTCTTGGTCAGCGCAGCTCTTGGTCTTTGTGAAGAAGTGACAATTTATGGTTTCTGGCCTTTTTCAGTGGACCTCCATGGGCGGTATATCAGCCATCATTACTACGATAACATCTTGCCAGATGCCGGCTTCCATGCCATGCCAGAGGAATTCTTACAGCTGTGGTATCTCCACAAGAGAGGAATCCTACGAATGCAGCTGGAGGATTGCGAGGATTCTTGATTTTGCCCTACAAAGGAGCACAAAACTTTTTGTGTTTTGCAGCTGCCGATGTTTACTTGATTTGCCATCGGCATAAAGAACAAACCAAGGAATATTGTGGGTGGGTGGGTGGGAGGGAGGGATTTGTGGAAACCTTTTAACAAATGTGCATGGACCTCATTCGTAAGCTAAAACGTGAACCGAAGACTTGAAATTTTATGGCACTGAATAATGTGAATTCCCTGGTGGATATTGTTTTTGCAAAAAAAAATTTGCAGAATGCAACTGTCCATTGGGAAGGTTCAAAATAAGACTGGAGAGTGAGTTTACAAAGGGCTTTCAACAACCGTGTTGAATACTTCCTGTTGTTCAGATATACAACTGATTCCCAAAATACAGGGGATGTGTTTTGTTCGCTTTTATAATTTGTTCCTGAAGCTGGATTTTCAAAAGGCGCCTGAGTTACTCATTTTCATTTCTGTCAAAAAAATACTTGAAAGTATAGCAGAAGGGGCCAATTTTTCCTCTTCCTCCTCCTCCTCCTCCCCCCTCCTCCCCCTCCCCCTCAACAAAAAAAGTAACTTACTTCAATAGTGTATTCTACAAATCTTGTAGCATAAACTGGGATTTTTTTTAAAAAAAATAATAATAATGAACAAATGGAAATGTTTTTAGCCAGATTTTTCTTATGAAACAGCTGTCCAGCTTCTTCCACATTGAACTGTGGGGGTGTTTTCAGAAGAATAAGGTCACTCCTGGTCATTTAAAGCCAATCCTATTTGAGCCTGCAAAATGAAGCCGGAAAGAGTTCTGAGCTGGTGTTTTAATATCAAAACATTCAGTCCATGCTGGATGGTAAAGAAGAACCAACATATTCTGTAGGTTCTTTATTATCTTGGGGCATTTCATGGATGTCTTGAAAGTAACCTGTGTAAATTTGGATTCCTTCATCATACATTCTAGGACTTGTTAAATGCACTACGTTGTCTTTATAAAAAGCAGAAATGTCAACCCAGGCTAATACAATGGAGCCGACACAAAAGGCACAGTTTGTGCGATGCTGCTATTGTCGTTTGCCAACTCTTAATCTTTCCTGCTGATGACTTTGCCAATGTGTTTTGTTGGGTTAATTTTATTCAATTTATATTGCACCTTTATTAAATTTTTATGAACTGAAGGCACTGGACACATCTAATGCTCCTTCGTGCTATTTTCCCTACAATAGCAACCTTGCGGCGAGAGATGGGCTGGGAGTGACTGACTGGCACTCAAGTCACTCAGCTGTCTTTCATGGCTAAGGCAGGACTAGAACTCAACCGTCTTCTGTGATTGGCCCAAAGTCATCCAGTCAGCATTTCAGCCCCAAGGCAGGACTTGAACTCAAAAGCTCCCGCTTTCCAGCCTGGTGCCTTAGCCACTAATCTTTGTACATCACCCCAGAGACTTTTTTATGAGATGGGTAGGCATAGAAATCATTTAAACAACTGAACAAATATTATGGCTTCTCCCCTAATAAATATGAATACTGGAGGGCATCTTAAAAAAGCTACTAGTTTTATTCATATGCATCTTTATGCAGCTCTTAATCCATACAAATCGGGGTGATGGCCTAAAATGTGCTTAATTTCTTTTAACTAATCCTGCATGAATCTCTTATAATAAAAGAATAATTTCAAATAGATATTTTGGGGCCCCACCTAAGGGCCATAGATAGGTGTGTCTTAGAAATGGCTATGCCTCCAATCTAGACGCAATCCTCTTGTTAGTAAGGTGTAAACATAAAGGTTTCCTCTATCCAATCGTGCCCGATTCTAGGGGGCGATGCCGTCTCTGTTTCTTCGCCGAGAGAGCCAGCATTGACTGAGGACATTTCCGCGGTCATATGTGACCAGCATGACATCATGCCCCACAGCGCAGAGTGCACGGTGAAACACGGAACACTGTTACCTTCCCACCGAAGTGATACCTATTTATCTACTCACATTTTCATGCTTCCAAACTGCTTGGTGGGGAGGAGCTGGAGCAAGGGACGGGAGTTCACCCCGTCATACAACCCCCCCTCCCCCAGGTCTTGAACCCCCAATTGTCGGCCTTCCAGCCAACAAGCTCAGCATCTTTAACCACCGAGCCATTTGCACCCCCTCCCCTTTTAGTAAGGTGCAGACTAACTTTAATAATAATAATAATAAAGTTGGAAGGGACCTTTGGAGGTCATCTAGTCCAACCCCCTGCTCAGGCAGGAAACCCTATACCATTTCAGACAAATGGCTGTCCAGTCTCTTCTTAAAAACTTCCAGTGTTGGAGCATTCACCGCTTCTGGAGGCAGGTTGTTCCACTGGTTAACTGTTCTAACTGTCAGGAAGTTTCTCCTTAGTTCTAGGTTGCTTCTCTCCTTGGTCAGTTTCCATCCGTTGCTTCTTGTCCTGCCTCCAGGCACCTTGGAGAATAGCTTGACTCCCTGTTCTCTGGGGCAGCCCCTGAGATATTGGAAGACTGCTATCATGTCCCCCCTCGTCCTTCTCTTCATTAAACTAGACATTCCCAATTCCAGTAGCCATTCCTTATGTTTTAGCCTCCAGTCCCCTTTAATAATGATCAGCGCAGCTTTTGCTTTTCCGAATATTGCCAAAAGTAATCAAAAGAGAAAACTTATAAGATAATAATTCAAAGTGCTCTGGGGTTTTGCCAGCTTTGCAGAAACTGACAGATTTGCAACATCTCCAGGAGGGCTGCTTTTTTCCCCCCCTCCCCTACAGCCGAGCAATTAATCTAAGATGCATTTTTAGTAAATTAAAAATTGATGTAGCCCAACCCGTTAATCAAAAGTAGCTGTTTCAGTATTTATTGGTGCTTAATGTTTTACTTTACTGAATTACCATTGATATCTTACACTGGAGAAATGGATGGGAACGCTTGAGAATATTTGAACAGTCGGCAGCTTATCAGGATTTGGGCCTGCTGAGTGTCAAAAATCACATCACTCAAGAAGGGTCTTGTTAGGAGAAACATAGATTGACCAGGCTAGGTGAACAAAAATTACTTAAAGGATGATTGCTATTAACATCAGTGTTCCATAGATGCTTGACTTAACTCAATTTGAGTTTGGTCCAATCTTATTTAAAGTATACATTGTTTGTGTGTGTGTGTGTGTGTACAAACACACAGCATATGTATGTATGTATTTCTGTGTATATATATATACAGTACATAGACATACATATAACAACAACGTACATTGAAAGTTTTAACAGCAATGATAAGAAGTAAAACTATAACAACAGAGAAAACTAAAAGAAAACAGAAATAAAAGAAAAGCTAAAAGCGCAATAAGAAAAAAAGTTAGAAGGAAGTGCGAAACAGGGAAAGTAATGATATATACCAGGGGTAGGCAACCTTGGCTCTTTTATGACTGGTGGACTTCAACTCCCAGAATTCCTAAGCCAGCATGGCTTAGCTTGGAAACCTCTCCCTTTCCCCTCAGCACGGCTGGCTCAGGAATTCTGGGAGTTGAAGTCCACGAGTCATAAAAGAGCCAAGGTGGCCTACCTTTGATATATACAAAGAAGTGGGTTGCAATAGTCTTCCCAGCAGGTATAAGCACAATGATATTTTAACCTCCCTCTCTAATGTCACATCACGACATGTTGCATCCTGGTGAAAAACTATGCTGTCTACTCATCAAAACCATAAGTCACAAGGCAGCACTGATGTTACCTACTTGGATAATGAAACTTCTGCAAGAAAATAAGCAAGCCTAGAGAGCACCAAGGACCCCCTCATTTCAACCCTCAGCTACAAATGTTCTCCTTTATTGGTACACGGTGATGGGTTTCCTTTTAGGCAAAAAGCCCATCACGGGGTTTCCACTCACCAATACGTGTAGATCTTCTCCTTTCTCCAATCAGAACAGTCCCTTTGCCCACCTCAACAAGTTCTGTCACCGTCACCACCCACTCCTCCAACCTAAGAAAAACAATTTTGCCTGAAATTATATTTCCGTTTTACTCTGGAGCTGGAATAGCAGAATAACCTTGGGCCAAATGGCTGGCGGTGTGGGGTGGAAGAAAAAAACACCTTTTAAGTTTTTCTTCCATTTTAGTCTCCATTTCAGGAAGCTGCACAGATTTAAGAAATGTTACGTCATAGGGAGCAGTTCCTGACATAAACATAAGGCCAGACTTATGGCAAAATCGGCTTGGCCATGTAGCACTTCTTGTAGTTAGATGTGAGGTGCAAAATGATCCCCCGTTAGCTAGGATCAAGTCCACTTAACTGGTTAGCCCAATAAGAGTCTTGAGAAAACAAGGTCATGTTAGTAAAATGTAGGCAACTTAGAATTAGCAGTGCTCTGGCTTCTGATTATGAATCATCCTTGAGAGGCATGAAAAGGTAAACTGAAGATTAGATTGGATTACATCCGGAATGCCAGTTTTATCTCCAAAATACACACTGGAGATAGACAGTTGCTCATTATTCAACCTGTTGTTTGCTCTGCTGCACAGTTCAAAATCTGAAGTCTGGGTCAGCCAACAGGAACAACAGCCAATCAATCACCTGAGGATTTTCTTCAAATTTATTTGTGAGTCATCCTTAGTCTATTTTATTGTTTCAGTCAACCTTGGTCCAAAAGATACCTAGAAAAATAAAGCCTCCCTTTAAAAGATTAGAGCAGGGGTAGTCAACCTTGGCTCTTTTATGACTCGTGGACTTCAACTCCCAGAATTCCTGAGCCAGCTATGCTGGCTCAGGAATTCTGGGAGTTGAAGTCCACGAGTCATAAAAGAGCCAAGGTTGACTACCCCTGGATTAGAGGATTCTTTTTAAAAAGGTAGAACAGGGGTGTCTAAACTCACAATGTATCGTGGCTTTTTCCCCAATTGCCGGACCTGGGGTGTGTAGCATGACACATCTGGCCCGCAGGCCGGCAGTTTTGATACACCAGACGTAGAAGCAACAAAGCCATGTTCTTTACAATCACCACGTAGAAGGAAGTAGTTTCTCAATAAAAAGGTTTTAGTTT